AATTAATATACAAGTTGAAAAGAGTAGGGGAAAGGACAGAATCTTGTGGCACCCCTGCTTGCATTTCCCTGGGCGTTGACATTTCGCCTTCAACCGAAACCCTGAATCCATGTTGAGAAAGAAAGGACCCATTAAGTTTGGCTGAACTGTTCCAGAATTCCAATTTTGATAACTTATACAACAATCCTGAGTACCACTTGGTATCAAAAGCTTTTCGATGTCCAAGAACACCGCAGCCGTAGACATTTTGTTGTTGAAATTAAGGGTCACGTGGTCCGCCAGCCTCGTACATTGCAATGTCGTGCTGTGACGTGCACGAAAAGCAAACTGACTTGCGTTGAGCAGGCCTCTTTCTTCAAAATGTTTTTGGAGGAATTTAAAAATTACTTTTTCTAACAGTTTTCCTGTCGAGAACAGGAGGCTGATCGGACGTAAATTTTGAGGTAATTCCGGGTCTTTACCGCGTTTGGGTACAGTTATTACTTTTGCTTCCTTCCAAGTAGTTCGAAAATGAGAAAGCCGAAAACAATGATTGAATAAATGGGTTAGATGAACCAATGGTCGCCTTGGTAAGTGCCTGGGGCATTCATTTGGGATGCCGTCAATTCCGCAGGCCTTTCTATATTTCAGGATTTTTATTAATTTCTGTACGTCACATGCTCTGATCCTTTGAGGGGGGTTGTCTCGTCTACGGTTTGCAGCAGAGATTGAACTCTAGCCTCCACCCGCCGTTCATGGTTATCGTCGCACAGATCGTGCGGCGTGAACTGAATTTCCAGACAGTCGGCAGTTGCGTTGGCTTTTTCGGAAGGATGAAATTTAAGGCCAGAAGAACCATGAATAGCAGTTGGTGCCCTTGGTCCGTCTCTCTTTAAGAGAGATTTCGCAATGGGCCACATACCCTGTGGTGTAACCTATTTTTGTTCCCCACCGTTCAAGTGCCTTTTTACGAGACATTCGTCTGATTTATTTGGTGACCTAATTGACTGCCGTTTTACACGCTGGATCCCTGGTTTCTTGCCACAATTTTCGTAGCCTCTGCTTATGTTTTATCAAAGGATCTAGACTAGGAAAATCGTTTATGTCCGAAAGTGTAACTTTACTTGTCGGCAGCCTATATACCGAAACAATAGAGGATGCAAAGTAGCGTGCCGCTTTATCGGCTTCTACCCCCGACTTAATTTCTAGTTTAGGTGATATTAATTCAGAGGCGAGGCTTTGAAACCGCTCCCAATCTGTAAATTTCTCAACAGGTTCCGAAAGATTCCTAATCTTAACGTGATCCAGTATGTGGAATACTATTGGTAGGTGATCTGAATCCAAAATGTCAGAGACGATGACATCCGACACTCTGATATTTTTGTGAACCACAATGTCCAGCACGTCACCATTTCCCGCAGGGGAATAATGAGTGGGGCACTGTGGTGCTGAAATTTCGTAATCACTCATATCAAATAAATCAACGAGTTTCAAGCCTGAGGGGTTTGAAACCCTGCTATTCCAAAATGGGTGCTTGGCATTCAAATCACCTGACAAAATAGACTTACGTCTAAAGCTTAAGAGCTCATTGATGTCAGCATCACTCCAGGATTTGCCTGGGGATTTATAAACAGCTGCAAGCAGTACTTCGCTGTTACCAGTTGCTATGCAGACCCCTGTCGCTTCTACTGAAACAAGGGGTGGTAGGTCTACATGGTTATGGGGAATGCCTTTTCTTACTGCAACGGCAGTTCCGCTCTTTCTGCCCGAGTGGCGGTCGATTCTATAAAACTGTTAATTTGGAATAAAGAACCTCTCATGAGGTTTTAGATGTATCTCTGAAAACAGTTCCACATCTACATGTAGGTCTTGCAGCTGTTTACTGAGCTCATAGTGCTGCCTCCCAATGCCGTTTGCATTGAGGGGCCTATGAACTCCGGTGGCCATTTTGTTTCATAAAGCTTAGAACAATTTTAGTTATGGCCATTATTTTGTCCTCCTCAGACACTGCACCACTGACCTCTGTCATAATCTGCTGCACTACAGTCACTACTCTCAACATATTGTCGAGAGTTTGACCGTTTATATGAGTAGCCTGAACTGACTGACCTGTTTCTTTCTGCAGTGCAGTGGCCGGTACAACCTGCTTCCTTGTTGTGGGTGTAGCCACCAGAACATTGCTTTCCTGAGGGCGCTGTTACTGCTCTGCTGTACTGCCTCGGAGTGCCGCAGCGAAGGAGACACCTGTAGTGACGGTTGTTGAAGAGAACACCCTCCCTGTGGTAGTTTTGGACGTTCTGTGAGCCTTCCTTTTTTGTTGCTCCTCCTTGGCATGTTTGAAACCCCGATAATTGGCGGGATGTGGCTTTTCTCCCTCTTCCAATCGGCAGTTGCAGCATACTGGGGTGGAGGCAGAGTTCTCCTTTTCTGGGCACTCCTTGTGTAAGTGGCCACCTCCGCACCACAAACAACGTGGGGGGCTGTTTGCAGTTAGCCCAAATGTGGCCAAACTGTTGACAGTTGTAACACTGTGTAAGCCCGTTTTGCGCTTTGTAGGCCTCTACCCTGATGGCAATGTGGCAGAGGTTGGTTAACCGGAAGAGCTCTTGGGACTTTTCCTCCTTGGGAGGGTCACTAGGAACAGTGGAAGATTGATGGTCCTTGCTCGTTCCGGAGGCGTCTGACGACTGGTTGTCATTTGTTTGATGTTAATAACGTCAAAACCCAGACTCACCAGACCGTCAGAGATATCCTCCGCTGGAGTATTTTGCGGGAGTTGACGGATGACAGCTTTAATGGGTTTTTTTGGGTAGAAGGAAAAGTAGGCAAGATTGCTATCCTCAAGGAATTTCTTTATGGATGAAAAGTCCGCCATTTCTTTTGTGACAATTCTGGTCCCACTCCTGGTGTTGCGGAACTCAAAACTGCCATTAACAATGCCTTTGATATTCCTCTGCAACTGTATCAGGTTAGTTGCAGAGGTTAGGACAATGGGACGAGGCCTACTTGACCTGCTGCAAGATGGCTGCTGCTCTTCCTTCTCGGTTGTCTCCTCCGCGACGTCCATTTCCGTTGTCCTGAGGAGCGCAAAAAAGTTCCTTGTTGGTACTTCAACCTGGGATTTTATTCTTGGGTCCCTCGGGTTCTGATGATTGCGAGCTCTGGGCTCCGCTTTTATACCATGCTTTCAGGGTGGAGCTTAAGCTTGCAGTTGCGATTGTGAGCACCAACTGACTAGCACACGTGATGGTCTACAGGTGGGCTGGACATCGATTGCTGTATAAAAAGGAGTGGTGGCAGCAACATGTGGAAATGTGATATTGACTAGGAGTGAGTGCTGTCTGTTAGACAGGCGAAACTGCGTATTAGTATGTGAGATGTAGCCACACATGTTTTATTCACTTACTCTTATAAAACAGTTCTGTTCCATTTCTGTTTCTTCTGATATCAGTTTTCTAACGCTGCTGCTGCTGCTGCTACACATAGGCATGCAGAACCTGTGGATGAAGCCGCCGCAACTCCCTGTTGGGTCTTGTCAAATGTCAAGAGATATGAACCCTGGTACAAAATCCGTATAATATAGTATAAACGTGACAGATACTGAGCTGCATAACCTTACCTGCTAATCCGGTGACATCCATTTTTGGCAGATTTCGAGCCTTGAGTACAACTACTGTAAGTCTGTTTGCTGCAGGCTGCCAGCACAATGATACCAAAAGTTCACCACGGCCCTGTGCTCGGATCTGTAATAATCACATAGATTTCTACTATATGAAACTGTTATTATATTATGTGTGATTTATAAAAAATAGACAATATTATGGAAATCACTTAGGTAGTTCAAGCTTCAAATTCCATGTCTTCTTCCTTTTATTCTTCAGGTGAATCAAAATTACTTTATTTCTTGGTATTTGTGAAAAAACAAGGAATATGTTTAGTTTTCATTTTGTGCCTCCTGTTGTGTTATTATATACAATTCTTTATTGGAGCCTGTCACAACACAATAACATAACGTTATGTTGTGTTGCGAGGGACTCCAATAAAGAATTGTATATAATAACACAACAGGATGTACGAAATGAAAATTATAAATGCTAGTCAAGCAAGCAGCATTTATAAATACATGAACGCTAAGCTAAAACTATTGAACACAACACTAATATATATTTTAATTAGGAATGCTTAGCTGAAAACTTGACACAACTCTTATGTTGTGGTGTTGCGACGGACTCCAATAATGAATTGGACATGTTTAGGATTGGTTACCATTAAAAGAAAGTTTATCCTGTAGATCCCTCTTTGACATATATGAGGACCATAAATAATACTTTTGAGGGTTGCAGCATTCCTTAAAAGCACAGAGTTTATAATGTCCCATATTCGGGGTTCCGTGACTAATAATTGAGGGTCTCTGGATTGGATGATTGGATTTACTGGCACTTCCTTACAATTACAATAAATTATACCACCTCACAGTCAATGACCTGCTCATTCCTCACTGGACTATGAGGGTTTTCTCTTCCACTGTGACTGACTTGGTTCTGATTTGCTTCTTCAGATTCGGTTGTCTGCTGGTTAACACTCCACAGCTGAACACTGAACTCTCTTATGACTGAATCATTCAACTCCTTTACGAATCAATCAATCATTCTTCTCTGCATGGCTCCATATGTAGCCCAGCGGTAACCATGGAAATATCTGTTGTCTGTCTCTTGTCCTGCAAACGCGCCTTGTACTGAATTGATCTATGGNGAATCATTCAACTCCTTTACGAATCAATCAATCATTCTTCTCTGCACGGCTCCATATGTAGCCTAGCAGTAACCATGGAAAATATCTGTTGTCTGTCTCTTGTCCTTCAAACACGCCTTGTTCTGAATTGATCTATGAGGATGTACCTTCATGGCAACGTATATCAATTCTGTGTCTATTCGTTGCAGCGAAAATATGATAACCGAACCGTTGCCCAGCAATGGTCATATTCATTACAATTACTTAGTACCCCAAATAGTGGAGGAAGTAACTCTGTAATGACCAACAAGTAGATTATGTGGTGGTCCAGACTTTCTGTTTGCTCAAAGAATTCAAGATATTCCTCAGCATTTAAGGAAATCAAAAGTTTATTACATTCATTGTTTCCATTCCTATATAAAGTAATATCTATTGTTATTTGGGGGAAGTTATTATCTCATTTATAACCATTTATCGTCTTGGTATCAGTTCTTTGTAAACTCACTACCTCACTGTAATGTCATTCCACTGTCTTCTTCTGGCATCTTCCCTCTGCCTTCACTTTACACATGATTCAAAGCATGTGCTTATGCGTGTCTGTTTCACTCTGCACTGGATGCTTGTCAGCACTGTGCTGGCCTCAAATGTTCACTATCCTGCACTCAGCTGGACTCAACGACTGTCCTCTCTAGGCTTTGCAGCTGTGGTTTTATATATGTTACAACTTGGGTGCCAATGCAAGGGAAATGACCCTTTGCATCTCTGAAGAGGCCCAGAAGAAGAGGGTCTAGGGTATAAATGTTTTGAAAGGTGTGCAGAGGCCAGGTGACTCCTTCACTGCTTGCTCAGCTCCCATGACAGTAATAAATAATTTAACTTTAAATTCTGATGAAATATGGTCCTTCACACAATTTCTTTAGAAAATGTATAAATAAATTGGCATATAAATCAACATAGAAAGTACTAAGTACATAAAAATTGAAAAAAAAGAATTGGAAAAGACCTAAAATACATGTAGAAATTAAAGTACCTGGGAACAACAGGATAAATACAAGTTCACAATGATATTAAAAACAATAAATTCAGAGAAATTTTGACACTTTGTAGTTCAGAAACCTCTACCATTAGGACTTGAAAAATTATGACAAAACTGAGAATTTATGATACCCTAAAGATTTTGGAAAAGAATACTTTTCATGATTCAGCATAAAAAAAATATTCTAATATAACAGTATTAATTTATGTTAATTATTTTCATCATTGGGAATAAGAAAGAGTTTATAGGCTATACAATATAATATTTTTACAATTTGGAATCATCAGTTTAACATACAGTAAAACCCTCATTCAGAAGTCCTTTGGGAACATCTGAACACTAAACCGGGGAAAATCTTAAATAAAGGAAATTTAATATTGATATTTTTTACTTCAGATCACTGAAGTTGAACATTACTTATGGAAAAACGTCAAATTTGTGAATCTTAAATGCAGGTTCCACCTTATAGTAAAGCCTATATTTATTAGTAAATGTTTTACAGAATATAAACTGCATTTATAGAAACGGTTTTGAAATACATAAACAGAAGAAATACAAAGTGATCCAGACATCTAAGAAGAATATGGTCTTCTGTCTTGTCATGATGTGCAGTTCAGAAAGAGCCCAATGTTTTGGAGGAGTAGATTATTTTTTCCAAAGTGCACACCATTACAACCCTGAAAAGACTGCACTCCTCATAGTTACCACTATGAGAACCTGAAATCCACCTCATGACATCTAAGTTTCTTCAAACAATCACCTACATGATGAGGATACCAGGATCTCTAAATTAATATTTTCTTATGAACTTCAGTGATATTTCTGAGCATAATTTTAACAAATACCTAATTCTCACTGCATTTAATTTGCCAAATATAATATCAGAGTTCTGCAATACCACTGTGTCTGTAAATGATACCAGCAAGAATGGCCCCACTGGACGTAAGACTGAATGAGGAGCAGAACTATTTGTACGTGACAGTGAAGAGAAAAATCAAAACTGCCCTTCCCAAGAACAAAATGCTGGTGATGCAGTCTCTAGTCCATAATTTTATTCACTGCGTTATCACAGCCCATACTTCTGTGAAGAAATGAAGTTTAAGGAAATTTCAGGGTTTGACTATGGCTCATGTGCTGGGATTCATCTCCCAAGTACTACAAATAAAATGTTCCCACAGTTAATCCTTTCACTGATCCACTTTAAGATATCATATTCCTTGAGGGACAGACTGAAATCACAATCTAACTTAATACGCACAATATGAACTTGGAAACTTCTGGGAAGACAACTTAATAGAATAAGCATGATAATTACATTATAGAGCTGCCTCTTCTCTGCAAAGGTCAGCACTGTAATATCAAATGATAACATTGTAATACAAGTGACACTTTGTTGTTTATTGCTGCCATAATTTTACGAGATTATTCTGGTTTCTATGGAATCAACAGAGTGACAGACATACAGACAAACAAAAAGCAAGCAAACAAACAAACAAAAGCAAACATAAAAATAAACGTTATTACAAACACTAGCTTAGAATTATTATATACATGCTATGTGACGCCAGTGTAACATTAGCCATTCTAGCAGATCTGAAATGTTAATTAAGTATCAACATATTTTATTTATTTATTCATATATTTCATTTCATTCATTCGTTTACATGGATCAGCAAATGTGTTAACTTCTCACAGCAGTTTGCTTAATCATTGCATTACTTCAACTATACAACCTTGGTTTGATTGATTTTCCAGCAACTTTGCTGCTGCTTCAGCAAAATCAAAAGCATAAAGTTGTCCACATTCTGCCTCATATGCCTCTTTGCATATAGCAGTGAGGTAAAATGGTAAATCCAGTGGTGTATCTGAAAAATTATATTTCATTTTCATGTGGAGAACTAATCTCCACAGACACTGACGTGAATGACCTTGCTGAGTTGTACAGTTTCATGTGTTCTCTGTAGTTATTCTCCACTTATATCCCTTGTAAGCAGCTCTCATAGTACAGCCTTTAAATGCTGTCAATTTCTACTAACCTCATCCAACTGGTCAGGTGTGGAAACATACATAAAGACTTTATACATTTAGATATACATGCCTTTATGGTAAGGTAAGGAAACATGGATATTTTTATGTCTGCTTGATTAGCACTGGCAAAAGTTTTTCCAGTATTTAACAAATGCAATGTTGAACATTTCAGGGCCCATTTCATGGACAAAAATCCTTGGTTATAAATCTGTAACAGAAATACTCTGAACTTTGAAAAAAAGAATATTTTGAATTATGTTTTTCCTAGACTGCACAGCCATGAAGCAAACTTTTGAGGTATGAGTCAGTGGAATCTTATGGAAAGGGTGTCCAAATTTACCACCTTAGTCCATGCTTGTAAAAAGAACCTGTGTAGATAAATATTTTGATTTCTTGTAGTTGTATTCTGATCTATAAGTATGAAGGTTTTGTGGCAATTGGGTGGTATAACACTGGAGGAAAAATTAATATTTCAACAACAGGATTAAATTGATGCACACCGTCTTTGGTCTTGGTAAAGGAATATCACTTTTGGCTGGCTGCTGTCATTAGCAATAACAGTATTAATACAGGTCTTCAACAGAAAGTAATTTGGAAGTGGTACGCTGGTTACCTTGAGGCTCCTAGGATGTATCTCACGACAAAGAGTTAGGTTCTGGTTTTCAGCCTGTGAAAGATCAACAGTACCCAAACAGCAGAACACTTCCCCAATGATGTCATCTCGGGAGTAGCGATCAAAACTCAGAACCACAAAGTGCAACGTGATACTCTGTACAGACAAACAAGGAATTCAAAATAAATTCGGACATTATAGGGAAGTGATCTTCCCAACTGTGGTCATCTGCCATCTAACAGTCTTGTACATGGATAATGATGTTTCTTAGGAACATGCTAACTTAAACTTCCGGGTTCATGTATGCAGAATCAGAAGCTGATTGGATTTTCAATGCAGTCACACAGGATGTGGTTGTTTAAATCCACCATGTTATCATTCCTACTTCCCCAACCAGATGTAATCCCCTCTCTTCACTCCCTAGATCTAGGCAACAACCTTTCTTACAACCTCCTTATATAGCCTAATCACAAATGCACCCTGAAAATAAAGGCAGCAGGTTCCCCTGAAATAGTGATATCCACTTATAAGTTTGCAGTGCGTCACAACCCAGAAGACCACAGTGTGAACAAATTTAATGGAAATTCTCTTAAACTTACATCATTATTGCAGCACAGAAATGCCTCTGTTGGGTCACTGGCAGAGCCAGTGTTGCAAAAGCTTATGAGTTTTGAACTTACTCATATTCCAAGACATTCCTTATAGAGTATTTACAATGGGAGTAGATCCATTATTAACCAAAATCTATATGAGGGAAAATTAAAAACAATCCAATTTCACCTCAAAGTTGATGTTGGCACCACTGAAAAAAAGATGGAAGATATTGTACAAACAACATCAACTTTCTTCCATCTTTAAGTTAATATTCATTTTTAAGAATGATAATGTGACAATATTGGCATGTGATAATGATCACATATATATGGATCAGATTGGTAATTGTATTTCTTGCACAATGAATCTTCTTCTTTTCAAATTCTGCAGAGTATACAAGTATGCACCATCATTTTGTATCTGTGTTGTCACTCTTGCTTATTTGGTCTGTCATCACAGGTATGTTGCTTGGCTTTGCACTCTGATAATGGGAAATATTTTGTTCCATCATGTCAGGTAAATTGCTTTTGGCCTTCACCAGCACAGTCATTCTTGCTTTCAGGTTCCATCCATCCGTCCATCTTGCATAATTTAGTTATGTAATCACACACATAAGGAATTTTGAAAGCCACGGGTGCCTGATGTTGCCTAGAAATGGACGCCTCTGTTATAGTTTTCCAACCCAAAAATTCTGAATTTTGGGCATCATATCACATTACTTATCAGCATGTATGACACATAGCATGATCAGCCAATTCCCTTGAACTATTTTTGGACTTTACAGAATTACTACACTCACTGAAATCAAGAATAGTGGAGCTATGCTTCTATTCCCCTACAGGTCTTCATGGTGTGATGCCTAATTATTTAAGCATAAGGACAATTTTCCCCAAATAACTTTTAAGTGAGAACATTTAGTTTCTAAGAAACCAATTACGTAGCTCTGAAAGTTTTATACCATCGGGAGAAAACACGTCACTGTCATAAATATTGGTGGTCATGAACCATTAACAGTGAAAGTGGATTGGAGAACAGAAGTATTTAGTTAACATGTATGTTAATGGCACTGATTGTGCAAGTACTCATGCACGTTGGTTACGCCACATAATCATTTAAGAATTATATACATATTTCATAGACTGCTTCCCATTATGGGCTCCAGATCTACCTACAATTTATTGCTGTTGCAAGGGTGCAAAAGTCCACATCAGAGGTAGCAGTCAGTGCCTATACCATTCGATGACATGGGACTACCATTCCCCATATTCACAACGTTTCATTTTGCCAGACTGGAGAAATGGGAAAGACAAAAGAAAATGTCAGCACTTTTTCTAGATAGTTTCAGTTGCAGTCTGTTAGAGATGTCTAGAACTTTAGTTTCAAAACAAAATATTCCATAACTCATATAGAGAATGAAAGAAGGAAGGACAGAAGATATGCTTTCATGAATTATAAATAATTATATCCTGAACCCTTCCATTACAATGATTTCCAAACAACACCCATACCAAATTAAATACTGTCACATGTATCAGTGACTACAGACAGATTTGATTGGTAACTGGATTTATTAAAGTTTTACAACTCATAACTACAAGTAAGGACTATGCTCTCACCGTTCTACACAGTTCACAAAACGCTATCAGTCTGTTACAGTCTTCAGTAGCCATTCCTTGGTAGTGTTCCCAACAGCGAACTTTCCCTTTCCTCCAGGTTCCCGAACTGTCCCCAGTCTCAGTTAATAGCTTCTCACAGCAGCAGCTCATAAAAATTGAACCCCAGTGGTTATCTAACTCATGAAATCACCAAGAAAAAGAGTGACTGCATGCAGACTCTCTCTTGACTGACTCACTCTCTCCACTAACTTGTCCTGCTTATATCATCTCGGCACGAACAGCATATAAAACACCGCTCCTCTGTTGCAATTCAACTGTAGCCGTGGAATTGTTGCCTTCATGTCTGTTGGAGTAGCTGTTACTTAGATACGGCTGTTGTACAGTTGCTAATTTCACGGTCATTGACTAGCAACGTGTCTACATGCTACATTGCGCCCTCCTTAAGGCTATTCATCCCAAATAGCCTACAGGCTTACCAACTTTTCTTTTTTTTTCTGAGGGCTGAGTTTGTGACATCNCTAATTTCACGGTCATTGACTAGCAACGTGTCTACATGCTACATTGTGCCCTCCTTAAGGCTATTCATCCCAAATAGCCTACAGGCTTACCATCTTTTTTTTTTTTTCTGAGGGCTGAGTTTGTGACATTTGTGATTGGCCTTGTCTTCTCTTCCCGTTGTTCGGTTCTCACGGTGATAATTCTACAACTGTTCCCGCTGCTCCCTTCGTACCGAGCGGTTCCCACATAAGGTGCGAGCCTGTCCGTGTTTACCTCTATCATCCTAGATATGGTGTGCCACTGGCTCCTGTAAACCACAACGTTTACCCGCATGACTACCCTGTATTGACCCCCCCCAAGAGGACTGAGAAACTTGAATGTCTTTCGTTTCATGTGGGTGGGTCGATAGAGCCACACGCTGTCGCCCTCGTTGTAGCTCGCGCAGTTGGCCAGTCTATCATAACGAGTTTTCGTCTGGTCGTTGGCCAGCTTCAGGTGTTGGCGGCCATAACTGTGTATTTCGTGTAGATGATCCATTACATTAGCAGCTTGATTGTTCCTCGTCTGGAGGGTGCCTCAAAGAGCAGGTCGCAAAGCAGTCGGAGTTCTCTTCTGAACACTAGCCTATCCAGCATAAAGCCCGTAGTGTTGTAAGTGGATGCAAGAAGGAAGCTGGATCTTGCGTCCCAATCCCTCTGGTGCGATGTGACGTCTTTTCATAGGTTCTCTTTGGCCGTTTAAGGTAGCGCTTGACCATGCTTTCCTATTGCGTGTGCAGGAGTATGGTGCGAGTCTTGCTTCTTCCCAGGTTTTACAAAACCTCCTCTATAGACGGAGACTGAAGTTATGGCCTTGGTAACCGTGTAGTTCCCGCGATTCTCCATAGCGGCAGAAGAAGTTGGCAGCTAGTTGCACAGGTGTCGCACTGCCGGCATTATTTATCAATACAATTCCTTGCCTGGAGTCAAACTACACTTCCGTACACAAACTGTACTTCTGCCGGAATATATCCAGGATCTTGTTCACACCCAAGTGACCTCCTGACTGTCCATCATATAGTATGGTTGGCACGTCCTTCAGTCTTCTCCGAGTGAGAATTATCTGGGCTGTTTTTGACTGTGCGTAGGCGGATTCACAGTCGAACTTTAGTATGCCATTTCTCACGGCAAGGTATATCCATTTGATCCAGGGGCTTTAGTACATGGGGCTGTGGTCAACGATGTTTTTCCATTCTGGGGGCTATCCGGTCTTTCATTCCCCCAAAACGGGCCCTATGCTCTGGTCGTTCAGTTGTTCCCTCGTCACAGCGACTGAATCCCAGCTGGTTGCAGCTACAGCCGCAACAGTTCATATTGCTTGACTTCTGCCCTCGCCTCTACTTGGTGACTCTTGAGTACTTTCTTCTCGGCGGGGTCGTCAGGAAAGGGCATCGGCATTGTTGTTTTTTCGGCTTTGACGGTGCTCAGAATTGAAGATCTTTTGGAGGCGCTGAATCCATTGGGCGGGTTTTTCCTCCAGGTTCTTAAAACTCATGTGCCGGGTTAATGTGGAGTGGTCAGTGCACATGTGGAATTGTTGTCAGTAGATGTACTAAAGGAAATGTTCTAATGTCCTCACGAATGTAAGTATTTACCGTCGGGTGACGCAATAATATTGCGGCTTTGCTCAGCATTTTACTGTAATAGGCTATTACTCACTTCTGTTCATCCTCTACTTGTGACAGCATTCCTCCAACCTCCACATTAGACGCATCTGCGTCAACGACTAACCTCTCCTTGGCTGCAGGTAAGCAAGAATAGGGGCAGTACAGAGGGCTTCCTTTAGTGTTCGGATGACGACCCGACTTCTAGAGTACACTGGAAGCCTAGCTCCTTCTACTTCTTGAATTTCTTTAGTGGGTTTGCAATGTTGGCGAAACCAGAAATAAGTGTAATAAGTGCATAAAGCCAGGAAGCTTCTAATTTCGTGTTTATTCTTCAAGGTGAGTCATTCCTGTATGGCTTTCAGCTTCTAGAGCTCGGCGGTTAACCCCTCAGGTGACACAATATACCCGAGGTATGGTATTTCTTTCTGAAATATGTGGCATTTCTCCAGATTGAGTTTCAGGCGGGCTACTCGGAACCGCTGGAACGCTTTCCACAGGTTGATCAGGTGCTCTCGAAACATGCATCCAATCACGAACATGTCGCCCAAGTACACAAGATATGACTCGTAAGTGAGGCCTCTTACAACTGTCTCCATTAGCCGCTCTAACGTCTCTGCAGCGTTGCAGAAGTCAAAGGGCATGACTGTGAACTGCCATAGCCCATGACCCTTCGAGAAAGCAGTCTTCTCCTTATCGTCCGGATGCAGATCAATTTGCCAATAAACACTCTTCTGGTCAAGAGTGGAGAACTATTTGGCTCCAGCCAACGAATTCAAAATGTTGTCAATCCTGGGCAGTGGGAAACAGTGACACTGTTCAGTTTCCTATAGTTTATGCAGATGCGCAGGTCCCCATTCTTCTTCAGGACGGAATGACGGGGGATGACCGGTGGCTGTCTCAATCTTCCGATTAGCCCACGTCCTTGTATGTCTTTAAGGATCTCGTCTATTTCGGCCTGTTTTGGTAGGGAAAGCCTCCTCAGAGTGTTGGCAAATCGGTCGGGCCTCTCCCGTATTTATACTGTGGTACATTCTGTCGGTCCGTCCGTAGTTATCGCTCTTCATAGCAAATATGTCTGCGTACTCAGTAAGGTGTTCTTCCAAATCTTTGGATTCCACGTCACTCAAATCTGGCCTCACTGCTGCCATCGCATCCTGAAACTTCATTGTACTGCCTTTGACCTGTGGTTTTTCAACATTGGGCTGGGTCACCAGCTTGACTGACTCATAGTGTGCCAGGGGGCATCTTCTGTGAGCTTCTGTTCGCGACGGGTAGCCATCAGGACCATCATGGGTACCCCCGGGCGGTCTCAGGCCACAGTCCTGGCTATATAGAGTCCTTCAGGTGCGTGGGCCTCCGGGCTTGGTTCTACCAGGCCATTTTTCACTTCAAGAGAACTCCAATTGTGCTTTGAACTTTGGCCTAAAAATTTTGAGTCCCTCGAGGGAATCGTCCCTGACTTGGCATTGAGTTCTAACTTCGCAGTATCTACTACGGTCTTCTTTGTCCCCACCTCAGCTTGAGTTTCCTGGATCCTGTGGTCGTGGGACACCGGAACGTCTTCTACCTGATGATTCATGGAATCTTCCACCTCGGCCCGGATGGAGCTTATTGTGGCCCTCATTTCCTCTTCGCCACTCCCCACCGTTGCCTCCAACTTTTCTTGATTTTTGTTCTTCTTGGCTTTCACTTCTTCTTGAATGGCCACTTACCTGGCTAGGTAGATATAAATCCGGGATAGAAGAATACCTCGAAGGACTCAAAATGCTCGTTATTCGCCTCTACCTTGGCTTTCCATCCCTGCAGTAATTTAATTTCCTTAAATTTCCTTCTTTAATTTCCTTTAGTTAGCGCCCACCGTGGCTTCGTTGGTTCTTATTTCGGCCAGCAGGTGTGCTATTATTTGTTCCGTCTCCATAGTATGGCAATACGAGTATCTACTGCAATGTCAACCCCAACTAGCTGATCAATCAAATCCTACTTCTTACCCAAGTTTTCACATGTATGAACGACTACAGTCGGGGTTTTGATTGGTAATTGGATTTATTGAAATCTCACAACTCCTAACTACAAGTAAGGAATTTGCTCTCGCTGTTCTACATACTTGACACATCACTACAGGACACAATAGATCTTCTCAGTCTGTTACAGTCTTCATCATCCATTGCTTGATAGTGACTTCCAACGGCGAACCTACCCTTCCTCTAGGTTCCCGAACTGTCCCCGGCCTCAGCTACAAGCTTCTCACAGCAACAGCTCACAAGACTGAGCCCCAGCGGTTATCTAAGTAACGCACTAGTTCACCAACCCACTGACTCACTGTTTGCAAACTCTCTCTCGACTGACTCACTCTCTCCACTAAATTCCTTTACTTATAACATTTCAGGACGGACCGTTTAGAAAACACCGCTCCTCTGTTGTAGTGCAAAGGTTGCGTTAGTGCCTTAGAAACGGCTGTTGTATAGCTGCTTATTTCGCGGTCATCGCCTAGTAACGGGTCCTCATGTCACAATATGTTCTAAAAAGATACTGCGTTACCAGTAGGATTCATAAATGATGATGATGAATGTGGATGATGATGATGATGATAACAACAACAATAAATAAATAACAATTTTGCGAGTGATGACAATTTTGAGGGGAACTGATTTGCATTTTCAAATTTCTCTTATGGAAATAATCCACAGGGCTAAAGATATCCACCTGCCTGCTCATCTGAGAAGAGTGGAAGCTGAAGTTTTAATTTAATTAATTCGCTTAGTGGGGGGTGGAGACCAGCTGGGTTCATTCGGCACGGCGGCCACTGATTGCCCTATTGTACCTGCCCCGGGTGATTATGATGATGAAGAATTTGGTGGGATCAAGATTGGCAGGGGAAATGGAAATACTCGAAGTAAACCCGCCCCAGCGCCACTTTGTCCACCACAATCCCACTTGACCAGACCTGGGATCACACACGGGCCGGCTTCCCACCGCGGCGGCCCGGGTTCGGTCAAGTGAGATTTGTGGTGGACAAAGTGGCGCTGGGGCGGGTTTTCTCCGAGTACTTCGGTTTCCCCTGCCAATCTCCATTCCACCTATTACTCCACAATCAACCTCACCTATCATCTGGGGCTGGTACAAAAGGCCAGAAGTGGTCGCAGTACAAGGGACGTAGTCCCACCTCACTAGCAAAAAGAAACCGCTTGAGCTATGGCGCGGCCTTAAGCTGAAGTTGAGAAACAGATTTTTTTTTAATTCATTTATTAATATTTTCTTCCGGTATATTTTTATATTTATAACTAGCATGTGTATGAGGGTCTTTGTTAACACAATCGATGTGTTAAACGTTGAGATGCCCAGAAAGGTTTTACAGCAAAATGCAGTTACAGCGGTGTGGATAGCCATGGCTACTCTTCTGGAAAAGTGTCTGGAAAGCATAATTTTTTCTAACTTGTGAACAGAGTCAGCACTTCTTGACCCCCTGATAACTCTCCATCCTCAGTATTCAGTACCAGCTTCTAAGTCCATTAAATATATACATGCCTGCAGCTGGTTGAAGTTGATACCATAGAAAGTGAAGTCTTCATCATATACAGGGTTGCATGTCTTGCGTAGCACACGGGTCTTCACTTTGTGCTGCTTGTCAGGTAAGAGCTGGAGCTTCACATATGGATCGCTGCTACCCAAGTTTGGGTCCTTGGCTGGTAGATCACGACATTTCACCACACTCACTACTAGTGCATTCTTTTCGTTCTTGTACCTATAACAAATTTACCAGTTATTTGGTTTATTTCATTACATTGCAAGGATCTGTGTCACATATAAGTGGGTCATTACGGCTTACTAGTTTTTAATATATGTGCCTATTTTCACTGGGTCTGCTCTTCTTTTTACTACTACTATTACTATTTTCGTTACCACATTTACTCTTCTCTTCAATCAGGTTCTGATGTTATATTTCAATTCCCTCCTGACTGTAAAGGAGGACGGTTCCTTACTAACTTATTCCCACTCATACACAATTTAAGTATTTGTTTCCCAGTTATTTTTAACTCCACATTTGCCCAGTTTATTATTTTCTTACATGCTAATTCTTATTTATATTCAACCAGTCACCACATACAAATTTTTCTTTCCACAATTTTAATTCCAAATATTATTGTAGTATTCAGCATCCTCCTACCCCCAGTACAGGACATATTCTTTTTCAAATCACTTGCTAGTCTCTCTTAATTTCGAAGTCTCTGCTTTCAGACACATTATACCACTGTTCTGATTTCTTGTGCAATCAGCATGTAATTCCTACTACAGCCCAATTGTCTTACTCATTAAAATACCATTAGTTCTTCTCACTCACTCGCTCACTCATGGAGCTGGGCCCTTCTTGAGAAGCTGCCAATTGTGCAGGTACTCAAAAATTTCACAGCATTTTAAAGAACCTGAAGGTTCATTATCATGTTCACAAGAGCCCTCCACTGGTCCATATCCTGAGCCAGATAAATCCAATGAATATCATCTCATTCTATCTCTCTAAAATCCATTTTAATATTGTCAACCCACCTACGTCTTGGACTTCACCGTGGTCTCCTTCCTTCCTTCCGGCATTCCCCACTAATATCCTATATGCATTCCTTCTTTCCCCATTCGTGCTACATTCCCTGCCCATCTCGTCCTCCTTGACTTGATCATTCTAATTTAAATTCGAGAAGCGTACAAGTTATGAAGTTCCTCAAACTATGTTCCTTCCTTAATGTCAGAGAACAAGTTTCATACCCATACACTCGTAGAACCACAGGCAAAATTATAGATTTGTATATTCTAACTTTTATGTTTTTAAACAGCAGACCAGCATACAAAAGATTCCGGACTGAAAGATAGCAAGCATTACCCGAGTTCAACCTCCTCTTAGTTTCCTCCTGAATCAGGTTTAGATTTCTTACTGTCGTTCCCAAATATCTGAACTGTGCCACAATTTCAAAACATCTATTATCTATCTTTATGGCATGATAAAATTTTGTGTGAAGTTGACAGCAGTGATATTCTACGATAATTACTACACCCACTCCAAACTCTATGAGAATATTGTACAGTACTTCCCTTACAAACTGATCATATACTGTCCTGAAATCTACGAATAGCTGATGTACTTTCTCATTGCACTCCCATTCTTTTTCCATTATCTGACGAATGCAAAATATCTGATCTGTAGTTGATCTGTTACTTCGAAACCCACACTGATGTTCCCCAATAATTTCATCTCTGTATGGACTTAAGCTTGAGAGAAGAATAGTGGATAAAATTTTGAATGAAGTTGATAGCAGTGATATCCCCCGATAATTACTAGACCCACTACTGAAAACGACTTACTACTACCGTCTATGACTGACAAATGAAAGACCTGACCTCTCGTTAGAGAGGGCGCCACACATGGACAGAACAGTAGCTTTCAAAGAACAATCATCTGGTCATGAGCCCCATTCGGGGATCTACACCAAGACAGAGAGACTGACTGACCGTCAGTCGCAATGTGATTTTGACTTGACGATCGCATCAATCACATCAGTCACAACTACGCGTTCAGGAAGACAACAGTGCAACAGCGGGTCTAGAAGCAGCCGACTCCGTCAACGATCACCTGCGCTCATCGGGCCAGCCAGCCGCCTCGCAATCATCGGTCTGCAGCTGAGAACACCGGGATACTGGTAGGAAGAACGCCGTCAGTAGCTCGGGCTAGCCGGATATGAAGGGATTTTTCACAATTATTCAATCTGGCACGACACGCTCGGCTTTTCTGGTCGTCTGTAATATCCATTTTAACAGCAATAAACATTGTCATAGTTTTATGTGGTTGTCTCTCGGCGCCACCGGATTCGACATCCCACAACTCTATACAGGTTTTTAATATTCTTGTTCTTACTCTTCGTTGCAAGCTCATCAAATTTGTCTTTCAGTTATTCCCTCTTTTTATTCCTGAAATGCTGGCTGGTGCCACATCTTATGTTGTTCAGAGTATCCCCATTTCTTTTGCTTGGTTCCTGTAACCACTGCAGTTTGGCTTGTTTCCTTTGGTCTAATAATTCTGAGCATCCTTCATTGAACCATGGCTTATGCTTCTTCTGTTCATAGTGACCTAGACTCTCTTTGGCAAACATTTTTATATTCCCTCTCATAGTCCCTCAAGCTCTATTAATATCGGCCTGAGTGTCTAAGTTCTCCAAAACTGCGAACCTACATATTTGAAATTTCAAAACGATACTGCTCTTTACCCTCTGCCTCGTTTAATAACTTGAGATACAACCTTTCCATATGAACTATGTGCGTTGTTTTCTTACTCACTGCCAGTCTTTCCCTAATTTTCGCCACCACCAGGTAGTGGTCAGTATCGAAACCTGCTCCCCTGAATGATCTGACATCAAGTATAATTGAATGCCGCATCTTATATAACAAAATATGGTCAATTTGAGTGCGTGTCTTCCCATCAAGGTATGTCCAATTACGACGTACATTTATGAATATTACAATGTGGGAACATTGTACTTCTGACCATAAGATTTTTTGATGTGGCAAAGTTTACTACTCTAACTCCATTACCATTACTAATTTCGTGCAAATTCTCATTCCCAATCGTTGGTTTGAAAATGTCTTCCCCACCTATTTTGGCACTGAAATCTCCTAACAAAATTGTCATATGGTACTTTGGGAATTCAGCAAATACATGTTCTAGTTCTTCGCAGAACCTTCCTTTATATCATCAATTTTATCTTCTTTTGGGGCATGTACGTTCAGAACGATATCATACCAGCGATCTCTTAATATTGTCGCGTATCGGGCGTATATCGCGACAAATAAATTCTCGATGTATTCGATGTAGTGAATTTTATTTCACATTCGCACTTACAATCACCCAAATTACAGATTTACGGTTACTGCTATCTGCAGTAACACAATTAGTACACTCCAAATGCCAGAATACAACTGACTAGTTGCTGGCTAACTCGGCGGTAGCTCCAGGACTCACTGACTGACTCAGTACAACTCGACTCGGCGACTGTTACAGTACAACTCAGTACAACTGGCTGTGAATAGCCTTCGCTGCGCCCCATGTAGCCTCGATCGGACCATACGGAAAACGGCCGCTGTTACTATCGTAACGTCACCGCTGTTGACTTGCGTTGCCTAGCGACCGCGATATCCCTAGGTGACGTCACCGCGGAGGGGAGTGGCGGGGCGGGAACTCGCCTATTACCGTAGTAATGCGAGCGTTACGTTACCGCCACGTACGGCTGGGGAGGTAGGGGTCAACATGTCACAATATTATATTGNCTTAAGGCTGTTCGTCCCGAATAGCCTAACGGTGCATCCCCGTTCCTTTTCCTCGGTGGCTGTTCTTGCAGCATCTTCTTTGTGTCCTCCTACTGTTTCTCTTCTCCCCGTTGCTCTGTTCTCCAACCGCCTCATCTTCCCCGTTTTATGGTTGCTCGTCTCGAGCAGCTCCATGATAAGGCGCAAGCCGGTCGAGGTGCACAACTAACATCCTCGACCTAGGGGTCTTCTGGATTCGGTAAACCACGTCATTTATCCGGGTCACTACTTTGTAAGGACCTTCCCATGATGCTTGTAGTTTCGGCGATTTCCCTTTTCTGCGGGTTGGGCGATAGAGCCAGACTCTGTCGCCTTCGTCGTAACCTGCGGAGTTGGCCAGTTTATCGTACCGAGTTTTCATCCGGTCACTGGCAAGCTTCAGGTGTTGCCGGGCATAATTGTGGATGTCGTGCAGATGATCCACTAAGTCTGCTGCATAATCGGTTGTGGG